ACAGTTTATAAGAATAAAGTTGTTCCAATAAAAATAGCCGCTGTATTTAACTTTTTGTATTTAGAATTTTGAAATATAAATCTTGTGAAGTTAATCGCTTTGGTAAATGATCGGCTCGTATAAAAGTATAAAGAACATGGAAGGTACAGATACAAGCTACAACGTAGGATATCTATGTATACGAAGTTCCAATTAGGAATAGAATTAATTTCATCGGAGTCCTAAGTAGTACGACTTTTCTCCGTGCGCCACCGTAAGAGTAAGTAAATTCCTTACATGAAACAGAAAATTGCCGGATTTAAATTTCACTGTAGTAGTTGGAATTTAAATCTAATAGGGATCACCGATGGAATTCTTAATTGAATTTAATCATTCCAATCAGGGCTTGAATTTAACTGAAATTGGAATTTAACTTTCTCCGCTTATCTAGTACACGTTCATTCTCCAATTAATTTTCACGTTATCAGGACATTCATAAGAAGTTATTAAATGTATAACCGATAAATTATCCCACTTTTGTTCAGTTTTTATGAGAATTCCTCAGGTCGCAAACGAAGAACATGGAAACTTATTTTTCAAACAGGAAAGCTGACGTAATCGTTTTCATAGTTTTCGGCTATACATGGTATATCAAAAATCATGGTACTTGTGGGTTATCGGAACAATAAACAAGGGAGTCAATGTCATAAGGTTGTCGGTTGGATTTTTTGCACATGAACAGTATGTGTGAATATGTGGGTGGGTGAGAATACACGTACACACACCATGTGCAAAAAATCCAACTGACAACCTAGATATTTGACTTCCCCGTTTTGTATTCCGATAACCCACTAGTACGAAAATCATAGTATAGTCAACAGAGGGGTACAGAAATGTCGTTTTCGAGAAAATGAATTTTGAAGATTCATCGAATAGGCATGCAATTGCGATCCGTTTGTGAAGGTGGTCTGTAGATAATTTGTGAAATATGCTTTGTCGATCCGTCGAGTTTGTATCAAAAAATTGGATAAAAATTTGTTGAACCTCCTACCAACTTTCGAAAATTTTCTTGGAGAAAATTTAAAAAGTCACAAATATAGGAAGTCACTATTTTCAATTGATAATACATTTAAATTGTACATCCCAGGAAATTATAAAAAAAGAAAATTGGATGAGGAATCTATCTTCTTTGAATAAAAAAAATAAATATAACTCTTTTGTAAATCATTGGATTAAACGAAACAAAGTTTTTAAAGATATTATCAGAAAAAGCATTTATATTTTCAATACTATTTTACTTCACGTACTTATGTGATGTAGCAACTTTAATTAAAGCTATTGAGTAAAATTAAACCAGATACAAACAAAATGGTTTCTGTCACCAATATGCATGAGTATCACGTTAAATGACTAGATTAATTAATAATCATATTGTTAATATTTAACATTTTTCTACAGTTCTTTTATTAGAAATGAAATAAAAATATATTACATACAGTATGCATTCATGAAAAGATTGAGAACCACTGTTGTTTTCGATACTTGTTCCTTCTACTTGTCTGTTAGTATTTATTTTTTATTAATTTTAATACCGATGGTCTTAGGACACACACTAAAATCCACAGTAAATCGACATAAACTATTAATTGGATGTTAGTACGATCGATATGAAAGAAATAATGTTACACCATCACCAATGGTTTTAGTGGGCGGACAAAGTATAGCAAACTCGTATAATCGATCCCCCTAAGGACCGGTACGTGTAGACACGACGAGCCGTAAGCAGGCCTTAACGCTGGGCTTATTGTTAGACCCGTGCACGGCATCCAATTTTTGGTACATTAATGTCTATAGCAAAACTAATAGATATGGAGTTTGAGTTCAATTATTTTCTAAAGCCTGCGGTGTGTTGCAAGACGTTTCAAGTGTCTGTGAAAAGACTCGTTCCAAAATACAAAAAGTACTTTTACAATCGTCCAAGCAAACTTTACAAATTCACTATACATATTGTCAAGGACAAAAACAGTCAACCGTCGATCGAAAAATTCCCATTTTCGACAAATTTTTACGACTTTCTCGCATAAAACACAAACTCGTTTCGACAAGAGTTTCGGACTCAAACCATTCATTCGCCAACACTCGTATCGACAATTCAGTATTCGTACTCGATCATCATTCATAAAACATTTCATTCGCAAACACTCGTTTCGACAAGAAGTATTCGTCTTCGATCATTCGTACTCACACTCGTTTCGACAAAAGTCACACGGACTCAAATATTCGTATTCGAACACTGGTACCGAAAACATTCATTCGACATTCACCTCACGATTCGTCAGCTGCACCGGTCGAGCAATTATATTGGTTATTCTCACTTAGAGAATATTGAAACAGTTGCCTATTATTAATTTAGCGGGCAACAGTCGCAACTGTACGCGTACCACGACGGTCGAGCCTGGAATTTACAACTCCAAGCGGATTCGAAAGAGAATCCGCGCGGACGGACGCGACAATGGGGATGTCACTTCTGTCGCGACCAGTTCAGCATGTGCGACGTCGGGAGGTGGCTCCCCCGACTCTGTCTGAGGAGTTGGATGAACGATGGGGGAGGAACATAGGCAGGGCCGACTGCGTGAAGTCATGCGATCGTGGTGCTAGCAGTCGGTCCGACGCCTGAGAGGGCCACCGAGGAGTTTTAGTGAAGTAAGAATCCCACATGAGCCGTCTCTGCATCCCCAGCAGAGGCGGTAGCATTTTGAAAGTTTCTCCTCGTAAAAAAAAGGGGTTCTATCTAGCTTTCTTTGGGTCTCCACTCGCAGTAACCTCCTCGTGGTGAGGCCTGGGCAATCGGTATTATCATCGGTAAAGTACTGTAAACTGAAGATAATATCGAGCTAATGGCTGCGAACTTCGAATCTATCTCATAAAACCACTTTCTATATTACATTGAACTAGGATTATTTTAGAAATCGATATGAGATTCAAAGTGTAAAAATGTCTAGTACTTTGAATGTTTTAGAAAATTATTCGAGATCAAGATGTATGGACCTCCTGAAAATTACTTTAGATTCCTTTTTCTTATTCGTTATTTCGTTGGCCGTCGTATTAGCACACTGCGCTGAACGCGGATAGCATGATGTTGTAGTCGCAAGGGAGCAATTGAATCGAATAGACGTATTGTACAATAGCGCATCATATTGTATTTCAAACTTTTGTATCATTATAATTTATATGTAGAAATGTATATTCCAATAAACATACGTCAGGTAATATAAGCTTCATTTCATCGAATTGTCTTAAATATAACTGCATAAATATTGTACAATTCTATACTAATTACAGTTGCCTGGTTCAACAGGTTACTACAGAAACTAACTACTGCCTACGTCTTTTAAACTTGGGCTGTAGTAGTATCTGCAGAAACTGCCATGGTTGTTGGGGTTACTACATAATTTGCTCACGGAAGCACGCACAAGTGTCGGTCAGATTTCAACAGTTGCACGAGCAACATTAGACCGAGCTCGAGACGCGTACGAGCAACAACGATAGAGGGTCACGTTTCAAAACTCTTACACATGCTCCGGGGTTTCATGACCCCATGTTCTCACCACACGGGGTCTCTGACGCCTCCACCGGGAGTTCTATGACCCCGCATGCTCGCCGGGATCTCAGGCGCCTCCACCGGGGCTCTATAACCCCGCGTTCTCGCCACACGGGGTCTCTGGCGCCTCCTGCGGGGGTTCCAGGATCCACGTTCTCACATACAGGGTCTCTGGCGCCTCCACCGGGGTTCAATGACCCCACGATTCAACACACGGGGTCTCTGGCGCCTCCACCGGGGGTTCAATGACCCCACGCCACACACACGGGGTCTCTTACATATTTTAGAATACATTTTTCGGTTTATATCAATTCGCGCGAAATTAGTTTACAACAAAGTGAATATTTTCGGCAATATAATATTTACAACAATCACATTTTGGGGATATGTTGTCAAAGATGTAAGATGTGGATTTAAGCATAAAACATAATTAGAATCATTTAAATAAAATAATTAATATATCATATTTTGCGAAAATAATAAGACGTGGTTGTCATTGAATAATTTGTAATAGAATGCAAATTATTAATTTGCAAAAACGTCATTGCAATATCTACATCTTACATTTTACTCTATATTTCGATTACCACTGGTTATAATTAACATCAATTTGCATCATAAAACAGCTGGCGAAATGTTTAACAACATATCCCGAAAATGTGATGGTTATAAATATTGCATAGCCGAAAACATTCATTTTGTTGTGAAATCATTTCGCGCAAATTGGTATAAACCAAAAACTCTATTCTAAAATATATAACTGTCATTGTCAAGGACAATAACTATCAGACGTCGATCAAAGAACTCCTATTCGCTAAAAATTTTTACGAATTTCTTGCATAAAACTGTACCAAGGCACATTTAAATTAAAGAAATTGTAGTTAACAATTGCCACCAACATTACGACATGGCCATTGTTTAATAGTTTGCAATAAAGTAAAACTTATTACATGTAAAAGTTTATTAAAGGGTCCATATCTTGAAAGTTTCTGTATATTTCGATTTATATTTGTTATAAACACTAACAATTTGCATTATAAGACAGCTGACAGAATGTTTAACAATGTTCTTCAGAGTGGTAATTGTTATAACAATTACCTTATTAGAAATAATAAATTAATCATGAAATAATTTTTGGCGCGCTCTAGTTGGTGCAGCATACATACTCGGGGATGTAGGGTATCAACAGTTTATAAATAAAGGTACACACGTCTAAACTCAACGATAATCAATTTATTAATAAAATAATTTACATAACTTAGCAACGATAAATTAAACATAAAAACTGAACATATAAAAATAATCACTAAATTATAAAAATTGGCGCGCAAAACTACAAACAAGCCCCACAGACAACGAATTCCCGGGCGTGAGTGAGCACTGCAGAGCACTGTCATTTCCTCTCTGGTTCGATCTTGTTTTTTCGTAATTTTGTTTACTACGGCACAAAATCCTCCAAAATGAAATTAAAAAAGAAAGCGAATACAGTAAGAATTCCACCTCTAAAAAGAGCTATAAAAGTTAATCGCAAATCGTCGGATATCGAAGGGGAATCAGCTGTATCGAAAGCGTTAAAGAATGTTAGAAAAGTTTTTGAGGTTAGTTGTCACATGTAAATAGGTAACCTATACATTATAAACCGTAATGAATACTACGACAAATCTTACAGAAAAAGACCGTGGAGTCAACAAACGAGGAACCAAAGCTACCAATTAAATCGTACCGAACCAAAAAAACAAAACAGAGATTACGTAAAAAACAAGTGTATCCAAGAGGTATAGTATACGTGGGACATATACCACATGGTTTTTATGAAGAACAAATGACAGACTATTTCAAACAATTTGGCAAAGTAACCAGAGTACGAGTGGCTAGATCTAAGAATGTATGTACATTTTTGAAATTTAGTATATTCATTTTAATTATTAATATCCACAAAATAGAAATTGCTCATAATGGAGCAAAATTCGAAGTCGTGGTTGGTTGGCGCGGCACGACCTTTGGTTTGTGCAGTGAAAGGATCACCCTGACAATAGTTGTTTGTCTATGAAACAATTGTCTTTCTATCTGTACTGAGCCAGTTCAATTTACTCTTGCAATATAATTCTAAAATAACTTTTGGAACTATTGAAATTAAAATGCAAAATATATGGTATTTTAAAACAAAAAATATTTGTTATAGACTGGTAAAAGCCGTGGTTATGGATACATTGAATTTATGCATCCTGAAGTGGCAAAAATAGCTGCAGAGACAATGCATAATTATCTAATGTGTGGTAGACTATTAAAAGGTACTGTTTAAAAATATACTTGATATTCTCTTAATACGCTTACTATAGATAAATGACTTTAAACTAGTATTTAATCAGTATACTGAGGAAATTTATACAAATTCACAATTTCTGATACCAATGACTAAAAATTCAAATGGAGTAGAATTTTGAATTTTATACTAGAAGCTTTGTTACGTTAATAACAACATATAAGTAGTATTAAAATTTTTTAAAACCTTTATCTTATTGCATTTTCCAAGTTAAGGCATGCTATAAATGCATAAATATCCGCAGTCTGTTTCATCAATGGCAAATGTGTTGAATAAATGTTTTTTAATTTCTTTGCACTTCAAACGTAATTGTCTTGTTTAGCTACATATATACCCCCTGAGAGGCAACATCCACGCTACTTTGCTGGAAAACCTTGGACAGAGAAAGTTTATCCAAAGAAAGAAAATAGAAATGCTGTAAATAAAGTGAGAAATGCAAATCCTAAGAAACAAGAACATGCAAGATTTGTGCAAAGTACACGGGACAAATTGTCTGCTCTAGAAAAGAAACTGAAAGAGAAGGGTTTTGATCTCAAATTTGTACCAGCAAGTGACGTAAAGGCATAACAAGTACATAAATACCTTTAATATTAGTTTCATAATTACAGCGCACAATTTAAAATAAAGTATTATGGACACATTGAACGTAATCTTTGTATAAAATACTATTTACAATTACTTGTTAATATAAAGTCTTTTATATTTAGAAAATAGTAATTAATCAAAAAGCATCTTTTTCTTGACCGTTTCCTGCTCCACCTTTTGTCCTCTTCCACTTCATTCGTCTATTTTGGAACCAAACCTTCACCTAGAAAGAATGGATTATTATATAAAAAAATGATATAATGAACAAAGTAAATTTATATTTCTGAAAAGTCATTTTTTTCAACTTAAAATTGAATTGGACAATTTACTGTTAAATTACATGTAATCATAATAATTCGAATTTGGGGTCAATCTTAGACTAATTCACCTGACGTTCCGTTAAATCCAATGCAACCGCTATTTCGTAACGTCGTAATCGCGTCAGATAATTACTATGCGCGAATTCATACTCCAGATGTCGAATTTGTTGTTTCGTAAATGCAGTTCTCTCTTTGCGTGGTTTCTCTCTGGCTAATCTCTTCTCTGCTTCTGAAATTTCCATTATTTACATTAATTTAACACTTTGTATCTTATTTGAGAATTAAGACTAAATCGTCATATTATATACGGTTAAGCAAATAAGATATAATTAATTTGACCATAAAGACTAATATTAAAAATTATGAGAAACATGAGTGGAAAAATGGCTTGCATAATATTAATCAATTCCACAACATAAAAATTAGAGAAACGTTATATACACATTGTTTCCTTCAATGTATCTTGAAATATACGAATGGAATGATGTGTATCTAATATATTAATATTAAAAGCTTCGAAAAATTAAAAATTGTTTCAGTTGACATTTTGCCGCAAGAAATGGCGGTCGAACTAAAAACTGTGAAACAAAAAGCGCTCACATAATACTTGTTTTATAATTCTTTCATTTAATATACATATACTATGCCCAAATTATTGTACACATATTTTATTCCTATAGTAAAAAAATGTAAAAATTATACAGATTTCGTGCGAAATACAAATACATATTAGTTAATAACTACGATGGAAGCCTTAAAATTAAAGGCAACTGGCAACTATCGTGGTTCCAAACATGTATTTCTCATCATCACTTTGTTTAGTTTCATTATAGATAATATAAAACATAAGAAACAGCTTGAAACTAGCAAAGTAGAAACGAATCCAATTCTTTATGAATCGTTCTAAAAAGAAACCACGAAAAGCTTAAACATATTAATGAAACAACATATAACAAAAATTCTCTCTGAGAAATAACAGAGATTTGATTTCAGACTTGCATTACAATTGTTTTTCTGCAGTGAATGAATATAATTTCCCTGTCGTTTTTACAATTATGTACATTGAAATCTCTTTTTTAGGAGCCATATTGAAATATATTCGATCATCCAAACGAGTATTGCGAATATTTTCAAAATCAAATCTAACTTTGAGACATCAAATTTTAGATTTAATGGAGTTTTTTGCTTCTTTTGGGAGAAATGGTAGTGTACGCTGCCTTTTGGCCAATGTGGCTGCATATTCGATGCGTCATTGACCAGTTGCAGCAGTGTTGGCTGACAAACGCGCCGCTGGCGTAATGGAAGTTGCTGGAATCGTAGGATGATCTGGGATGATATAGGGAACGTGGTCGGATCGGTGGTCGGGCTCTTAGCTTTGCTTCCGTGCCGCTATCGCACCCATAATTGCTGACTGACGTCAATCAGGAGAAGTTTCGTTACGCGATTTCAATGGCTAACGACCATCGAAATTTTTCTGACAAGGATATTCAATTCGACCATTGAACAAGGAACAAGTTTTGTTCGAAATGGTAACAGAAAATAACTCTGGTGCTAAGATAAATCCCTTTGGTTTAGTGAATCCATTTTTCTTTTTCTTTTTTTTATTTTCTTGTGGTCGAATTTGTAAACTACATGAGATGCAATTTAAAATTAGGCAAAACGATGGAAAATATTTCAATTAATGACGTACATGCAGTAAATTTTATATTACCGCGTCTTGCAATAATTTTTCGTTGGATTATTTCTTTACCTATAGGTTCCTACATTTAAATGTATCATGATATTTTTTCTAGTATAAACTATACTGCACTTATTTTTATTGTGATGTAAGTCGCATCATATCGTTAAATGTTTATTCATCGAAGTTATGCATACTTGCGTGTTTGTGATTTAAATATTTATTAGTTAACCCCTTGCATTACAATAAGTACGCATTAATATTATTACTTTCCTTTAAGTCAACGCGAAATACTGTTTTGATGTTACCAACCTTTAATCTTTACAATAAATATCCCCGCACAACTATCACATATGTAATTCATTTTTCTTTTGGCGATTAACAGTAATGTAAGTCCGGCGAGTACTGACGTGAAAAAGACGTAAAACAAAGAATTAACAATTAATAAATAAACATCTAAAAATAATTCGATAAGTTCTTTGCAAAAGTCAATATTTAAATAGTATTTTCATCAACTATTTCTAATAACATACGTATATAAGTAGAAAAACTTGGAGATATGAGCAACAATTTGTTTACCGTAGTTAAAATCGTTCTCTACTAGACAAATATTTAGACTACCTTAGCCCCATTGGAGCCACATTGGCGACAGTAAAGACATTAAATCAGGCTATTAGAAGTTAATTACCAACATACCGCCTAATAACACCGTTCTTTCGTCACCAATGCTTGCTGTATCCTGTGAATTCTGCCACGAATGATATTTCGCTTCCTCTCCGGTGTTCTGCGTAGTATTTTGAAGGAATGGAACCTCCCAAGCACGAAATACCGTTGTGGTGATTTGCCGATCTTGTGTTTTTTCGTCAATAATGCCTTGAGATTCATCCGGATAATGCAAACCATCATTTTCAGTATTTTCGTTAAGATATGGCTCCCATCTTGTTGTATAAGAAAAAAAAATAATATGGTTCATAAATAAAATGATAATTTTAACATAGTATTTAAATGAATTCCCATGTCTTTAATAACAATATTAATGTGTAAATACTAAATCAGTGAGGTACACTGAACTACATATGTCGTACACTTTTACTCAATTTAGACAATCACATTTTATTAATGGATCATTTTACTTAAGTATAGTACAACTCGATTTATCCGAGCCCGTCGGGGGATCAAACAGTTCATATAACTGGATCGTTCATATAATAGGATTTCACCAATTTTCCCCACTATCTGTGATTTTTCGTTCAAATAACCGGAGCTCACGTATCCGAATATGTGGATCCAATAATAGACTTGCTCGTTCTTCTGCTTATATGTAGCAATGTTTCAAATTTTATAAATTTAGAATTGAATTTGCAAGAACAGTAATTCGTAATGTTTAGTGAATTGATTCTTTATTTACATTGTAACAAAGACAAATGTATTTTTTGATGTAACAAGGAAAATTGATTTCATTTAAAAAGTTCGTAAATCTGAATTCCCACAAATTTTTTAGATATTGCAAATCAGTTATATTTGATTCTGGTTATGCTTCGAAACATCTAATGGCTGGATTTAATGAACAGAATGGTCAGTATATTAATATCACATCGTGTTCATATAACTCGAGTGGCGCTCGGCAGTTGTTCAGATAATAGGAGCACAGCAATAGTTCGGTAAATCGGGCACTTACTAAAGTTCCGTTCCAATAAATGGAGTTCTACTGTAAAATTTTACTGTAATTATGTATTGTGGTCGTATTCCTGGTCGATAATACAATAGAACATCGTTTATCGAGTATTACAATTATTCGAATGTCGGTTCTTTAACACTAGAACTACCAGCTTTGAATGCACACTAGATTAAATTGTGTAATAAAATAATATATAAAATATATAAGATAACCTAATATAACGTACCGTAAAATAAAATCTATAGTAAATTAAAAGCCAGCATAAATTCCGTCAAAAGCACCATTATAATTTCAGTAATGGTAAAATAGTAAATCTGTAATCCGTCATTTTGACGGGTCTGGTAGTTCTAGTGTTAAAGGAAGATTATGGAAGCACAAAACGAATTATTTATGTCCGTTATAGCATTACAAGCTCTACGCTAATATCACAAATGTTCAGTATAAAAGTTTGTATCGTCAAAATTACATTTCATTCGTGGCTTGACCGATTTACATTCACATATGTCAGGTATTATAATTTTATACGGAATGATTTATTTATCCTTATCGTTACCCAAAAATGAGGAGAAATATTACAATTTACCTAGAATTTCTTGAGCGAATAGTTTATAAATGAACAAGATAAATGAAATTTTTTGAATTTAAAATAACTTGAGATCTTTTTGATAGACTGAACTTTGAGAAATTAAACATGCTGTCTGGAAATATTGCAAATGGCTTTATACGTGCAAATAATCTTTATTCATTTTTAACCCTCCAGTGTAAGAGTGAGAAGTACTCGAAAGGAAAAATAATATCCTCGTGGATTCCATGGATTCAACACGTGCACTAGAGGGTTAATACATATGCACATCCGAATTTTATTGTTCTAATTTTCTGGGAATAAACCAGCCAATTTTTATAAGAAGAACACTAAAACGCCCCCAAAATAACAGAAAAAGGTTATAGGTTTAAGCTATGTTCAATATTGAAAGTGCATAAATACGTACATAAGTACTCAATAAACAAAAACGATAAATGAATCATTCTATATATTGTACATACTTCGATAAAAATAGCATACATTATATTCAATCATTTTAATTCATACTGTCTAATCATAACCAAGACGGCAAGAGACATATACATATAACTTGGACATGGCATGTCTCACAAGACCATTTTATTTTTATCTTATTTATCATTTATAGCTTTAAATAGTCACTGACTATTGTCCTGTATTCATAATTGAACTGTGGATTTTATGCATTTATCGTAAATGAGAATATCTAAAGCCTAACATGGTACAAGTATTCGGAAAGTGAGTACAGATTTTTCATTACTTTGGACGTAACGGAACCTTAATTAAAGAAAACCAATCTTTTTTATAATTTTTTTAATAATTAATTTCTTCTGATAATTCAGGTATGTTAAGTGATTTGTTAACAGAATTGAATCTTTATCGCAAATCGTATGGTACGTTTACCTGTACATTCGTTCATTGTTTAGATCCGTGTTGGAATGCTGTACATTTACAGCACAAGATGAAGCTAGACCGATCTCGCTGGAACCATTCACCGATGTCGATATATTGCAAAGATTCGACAAGTTATTCCAGAACTTCCAGTTTGCAGGGCAACAAGAACTCTGGAAATTCAGCTGAAGGTACGACGGTTCTGGAAGTGTAGTTTCGAAGGTGCTGTTCCCCAAAGCCACCCCCACAGGTCGGTCCATCTTGTCTAGAACGTAAAAAAATACTATTTGTAATACATAACAAATATTTATTTATTCATGTATATTTTAATATCTAGTTATTATTCTCATATACTATCCAGCGAAATTGCAGCTATTTGCATTGATACTTCGTGAATTAAATCCAATTGAATTTGACATCAAATTATGAGAACAAACTAACTAATAACTATAATATTCTATTTAAATTAATGTTATTAAATTAACTTCTTCGAAGTTCTTATAACAAGCAATATGATTGAAACTTGAAGTTTGCCTTTGGATCAAATTAACCTGAACAATGCACGAGGATTAATAAAATCTTGGAAGTGAATAAATTATCAAACAGCAAGTTAACGATAAAATTTATCAATCCATTAGCAAATGACAAACGTGCACGTGTAAGGTAGCCCAAATCAAATAATAGTAAACAATTTCTGTTTGAATTTTTAATTATAAGAAAATTAATATTTTCATGTCGATAAATATTAATGTTGAACAAATGATTTATGAAATATCAACTGTTCCGAAATTGTCAAAATTGTGATTTTGCGTAACAAAAAATTTCGTTCATTTTCATTAAATACATTCCGGAACAGAGGTGAATTCAGTTTCTATTGAGAACAATAATTTGGTCATTTTCTGAATTATGTACTCTCCAGTATAAAATATTACATACGATTTCCCTAAGCTTGATTAAGTGTTATGTCAATGTCATTTGTACATTTCCAAGATGATTTGACATATTAAAATTAATCACGTACCAGATGTGATGCAGAAAAAACTAAATGTGATGTGTACAAGATTAAAAAAGTAGCAACTCTCTGCCTCACGCGCTTAATCTTGATTTGAGAGTAGGAAAGATAGATTGAAATGTTCTCTGGATAAAAATAAAATTCGATTGAATAGCAATCATTTAACTGATTATTTTACAAATAAAATAATTGAACTCTACAAAAAGGATACGCGTGATTGAAACAGCACTTAAAAGAGGTCGTTATACAGGATGAAAATCATGTCAATGATTGAAATCATTCAATTCAAAAATTATTTCGTTACATTCTGCTGCAGGACGGAAGAACTTTTTGATATCCAAATTACTCGTATAGAACATGTCAAAAAGAAAATTTGTGAAAGTGTCGTGTGTCACCATTTTGTCCTGACTAGATAGTACTCGAAGGAAATTGACGTGTACGATTATTAAAAATATCAAATACCTCAAAACGAATGATGTGTAAAAAAAAAATAAAATCTTATTGAACAATTACATTTGGATAATCAATACGAAAGCTGTATTTGGTTGTTCACAGTGTTTACGTTCCAGCAATTTGTTTCACTTTTAATTTCGTGGTATTCGACAACAAGCTGAAGGAAACACTACTGTAGAATTACTGTCAGATCGAGATCACTACTTGTAAGCCGCCTTAGCACTAACTCGGAAATGTCAAACGAGCAGACGTTAGACCGCTCGGATAGGCTGCTGGAAATCGGGGTAGATGTGTGGTTGGAGAACAGCCGAGTTGTGGGAGGAAGACCGAAGGGAGACGCTGACGTTTTTCTGAAATTCTTCCGAGATTTAGCTTGTCCAAACAAATCTTAATCAGTAGAGGAAAATATATGCAATACCGGACAACGGTATAACAACTTGAGCGTAATAATTCTTTCAATATTAATGTCTTTAGCATTTTTTGCGTAACATTAACACAGAATATGTATTGTATTTCCTTAAATATTAATAATCTCAATAAAATCCATACTATTCAATTAATTAATACAGGAAATGTGAAGAAATTGATTTTCAAAGAATTCTTATGATCAAGTTGTTATAATTTTGTCCGGTACTGTCTATATTCAGATTTTAATTTGATCGTCCATATTAAATTTATATTTGACCGTTTCAGTCTGAATTTAAATTTGTTCATTGAAATTATTTTCAGTCGGATCAATAAATCGGATTCAGTTTAATTGATAAATATAAAAGAGACGAACCAATACAAGTATTTTTATAAAAAATAATATTACTGATATATATATATATATAGATGCATATATCAATAAAATTTAATTTCGCACGTATTGCTTAATACTTGCTGTAGTTTACTAAATGTATAATAATTGCACTTTCTTAGATTATACAGTTTTACTTCTCACGCAAGTTTCCACTGTCACAGAACATAGAGGTAGATACTAATTTGGCCGAAATTTAATACTTCGTTTGAGGACTTTAAATAGTTATGACGGCTGCGTTTCAATTTCGTACAGTCTAAATTAAATGTTCATAATATATTTCGGAGATTAAACTTCACTGTACTTGGATCAGTTTCCATAGTTGGTTTAATGTAGGCGATGATGAATAATACGGAATTAGTGCAATAGAAAGCGTTTTTATGTAGTGATCATATAGTCTCACAAATATTTACCGTTTAAACCTCATAGTTTATTTAATATTAATATTGAAAAAATATTATTTTGTGGCTGTTAATTAAATATTTACTGTGTATTGTTGAATTATACAAGCAATTGTGGTATTGCATTATTATAAGGAAATATGTGTTTAAGTATATATTGTTTTGTAATTCGACTATCAAGATCGTGGGCTTAAATGATATACTTTATGTATGTAAATATGTTGAATTGAAACATAATAAAAAAAGAAAAACAATTCCAAAAGAAACGACAAATTTAAATAAAAAGTAGGTTATTATTCAAACCAGGAAGGTAGTGTATGAAGTTAGCTATTTGTATTAAAAATGTACATACGTAAGATGAAATACGTTGGATACCAATCGCTTTACCAATCAAGTAGCAATGAAAATTGTGTACTTGCTGATGTGTGAAATTGGTGTGTGATTGTTGTGAAGTGAATTTGTGGATGATACAGCAAATATATCCAGTATTACCAGCTTGTATAATACTTTATGCTAGTCATTCAAGAACCAGAAAGGGCTTCGACCTGAAACCAATTTTACACACCCTTTCCCACGTGTTTCGCATCCCTACTATGTTGCAACATATAAGAAGTACAGAATTTTATTTTTTAAGATTCGTTTATTGATAATCATGATTACGGTATTCTCGTCATTGTTTCAAATAATTAATAAGAAAGTAACTTCATGTTGAAGAAATAAAATACAGTACTTAAATGAATGGTTTATGTGTCAATAATTGAACATAGTTTTAAATATTTCTTACTATTAAAATGTAAATTTAATTCTAGGGACAATATTAGTTTTGGGATAACGTCTCGTTACGACGCAATAACTGTACATCGAATTGACCCTGAAATGCGAGGCTGAGTTGAGTCAGAAATAAAACTTCACAAACAAAAAATTAAAGAAGATAAAAAAAAATTTTTCATATATAAATAAATTATTATGTCAATATGTAAATAAATTATTATTGTCTAGAATAGTATGTAATTCCATTGATTCGATTTTGATTCTAACCATTGTACCTATATATTTTATATTTTAATTGGAATTCTACCATTAGATACTATATTAATAAAAAAATGTTTGAAAATTTGTAATATAAATCTCATTTCATGAAACTTTTTACAGTAATCAATGTTTTTGATCACAACATCTGTACAAGATATTTTACCATTGAAAAATCACACTTCTCCATTTTTTAAATAAACATAAACAAAAGTTATCAAGACACAAATTCGAAAACATTTTATTAAAAAATTAACACAAAATTCATAAATATGATAGCACTGTAACGATACCAAAGTTACATTACAAATAGGGATTCAGTTTGAAACAGTAAAATAAATTAATGTATTTTGTCTTCTTTTTAATTTGATACGATAATAATTGAAATGGTAGACACCGCTAGAATAAACAGATTTCGTAAACAACGGCGGAACAATCATATACAATCTTATATAATTTATCGTCTCGACGTTTCATACTTTTGTTATAACTAGACAGCGGATTTCCTGAATTTGCATCGTTCTTAAGGATACAAGTGTTTTTATGATAATTTAATAAGACTTTTATTATACGGTTAACTTCTCGACACCCTTGATAAAGGAAATAAATTACTGTTCAATTCTCACTTTTGCCAGACAACTAGAAAATCTATATTGCCATGAAAATCCGTAGTTCATAACTAAACTACGAAAGTTAACAGATTTATAACAAAAGAAAGGAAGTTTAGAATTTTTTGACGTCCAAAACCGAATTAAACAAAAATATAATAAACTTTATCACTATTTATGTATTCTCATTAACGTAGTAACAGTCTTAGTACATAAGTTAACGTTTTACCCATGGATGTAGCCAGGGGGAGGGGGCAAGTGCTCTTTCCAAAAGTGGCCTTTTCCCTTACTCTAGAGGGGAAGAAATTGGATTTGCCACCTCCCGACCTAGAGGAGAAAAATAATATTATGAAATTTACCTCAAGGTAAATTTTGCCCGCCTTCCCCGACCTGGCTACACTTATAGTTTATCATGTTTGTACATTAGTACTTAAAATTATGAATTTCCATAAACTTCCGTACTCCATTCATAACATTCGAAGAAAACGTTCGCGGACCCATGTTGATATAACATTTTCTTCTCATTTCTACTCGTAGAACATTCTGATAAAGTTTGATCGTTTCATTATGTATGCTTCAAATGCAGTTACAATTTTAATTTGAATTTCAAATCATGGAAAATAACATTTCAGTTTGAAACTGCACTTCACATTTCTATGCTCGGCTTAGATCTACATTAAGTTTCATGATTTTCATGCCAGATATATAAATTCACAATCTTGTCGTTTCGAATCGGATCGAACGCCGTTATTTCATAAATGACTGATAATTATCATAAATCAGTCCTAGGTCCGCCTAAGAAAACAGAGAAAGAGAGAAATGAGGAGCGTGAAAGTGGCTGAAGAGAGGAACTCCCCCTCGTTTCCTAAAGGCTTCCCTTTTTGGGGGTCGTACAGCCGCACCGGTTAGTCACGGTCATTGTTTAGTTTCCTTTTTCAGGCTGATTTTCGGCTGGAAT